GAACATAATTAGGCATAAATCTTTAACCATATTTCTGATAATTTCTTAATGATACAGTTCTTAAAGTGGAAATTCTTTGGTCAAAGGCTGTGAACAGTTTTAAGGTAATTGTTTTCCAGGTAATTTGTTATGACAGTTTCCGTTGTGCCCCACTCCGCTAGCATTATCTTCAGCATCTTAATGTTCCTGATAAGGAAATTGGTATATCATTGTAAAAATGCTTCCCTTATTCAAGAAGAGTTAAAATATTTGTATGTTTCGCCATCCATGTGATTGTCTTCATTTGAAAACCATTACATCCTTTGACTACTTTTTTGAAATCACGGTCTTAATATTCTTCTTGTTAAATTCTATGAACTCTTTATATTTACAAATTTGAACCTTTTGGCATATTTGTTGCACAATTTTTTGAGTTTATTTTCATTTTAATGTAATTATAACTTTTTATACACAAGTATTTTAAATGTTGGCCGGGCATGGTGGCTCATGCCTGTAATCCCAGCACTTTGGGAGGCTGAGGCAGGTGGATCACCTGAGGTCAGGAGTTCATGACCAGCCTGGGCAACATGGTAAAACTCCATCTCTACTAAAAATACAAAAATTAACCAGACACGGTGGTGTGTGCCTGTAATCCCATCTACTTGGGAGGCTGATGCAGGAGAATTGCTTGAACCCAGGAGGCGGAGGTTGCAGGGAGCTAAGATCACACCGTTGCACTCCAGCCAGGGTGACAGAGTGAGGCTCCATCTCAAAAAAACAAAACAAAACAAAAAAACCAAAAAAACTCCAAGTGTTTTAAATGTTTATGTAATGAAATCTACCAATATTTTCCTTCATGATTCTCTGCTACTTTCATACTTAGAAAGAACTTCCTCATTCTTACAAAATATCCACTGCTCCCCTCTCCAAAAAATAAAAACATTGCAAACTTCAAGTTGTAACTTTAAGTTTTAACTTGACCGAGTGTATTTACAGTAAGAAGCTAATTTCTTCAGAAAGCTAAATAAGCTATGTGTGTTCGTTTTTGCTGGTGGATATCCTTTGAGTTCTGTGAAATCTGTATAGGGTGGAGAGGCAGCCGAATCTTGAGAAGAGCAGACAGCTAGGAGTAAGTAGAATCAGCAACGTTAACCAGGTCTTTTATTTATAGTTGTGCTTTCTTTGGCAAGCCAACCTTTCAGTACCCTGTTTTCCTAATTTGTGAAATGAAGATAATACCTTCCCTGCCCAGCTGCCTTATTTATCTGACATGTTCTGGGAATCAAACGAATTAACATTAAGAGGGTGCTTTGTCAATTGCTGACTGTTATAGCAGTCTACATATTGAGATTTGTTCATTCACTAAGTCACTCATTCATTTGTTCATTCATTCATTCATTCAGCTCCTCCAGTGTACCAGGCACTATGATGGATTCTGGAGTTTCAGTGTTGAATAAGACACGTTGTCTACGCTTGAAGAGCTTGAACAAAGAGGCAAGTAGTGTTATTAACTCCAGTTTACAGATAAGGAAAATGGGGCATAGAGAGGTTGAACAACCTGCCCAAGGTCACAAAGCTAGTGAGCTGTCAAACTGGGATACAAGCTCAGGTAGTCTAATTCCTGGCCCCAGGCTATTACCACTGTAGTGTACTGCCTCTCAAAAGATGAGGATGAATGGAAATTGGTTGATAATTGCAGGGAGTATAAATTTTACTTGTACTATTTTCATTTTTAAGAGTGTGGGGCAGGCGCGGTGGTTCACGCCTGTAATCCCAGCACTTTGGGAAGCTGAGGCGGGTGGATCACGAGGTCAGGAGATCAAGACCATCCTGGTGAACATGGTGAAACCCCGTCTCTACTGAAAATACAAAAAAAAAATTAGCCGGGTGTGGTGGCGGGCGCCTGTAGTCCAAGCTTCTGGGGAGGCTGAGGAAGGAGAATGGCGTTAACCTGGGAGGCGGCAGAGCTTGCAATAAGTGGAGATCACGCCACTGCACTCCAGCCTGGGCGACAGAGCGAGACACTGTCAATCCGTCTAAAAAAAAAAAAAAAAAAAAAAGTGTGAAAAGAGGTCACCTAGCCTCCTCACTACCTTTCCCCGAATCTCTTGATCAACAAGCACTTAGCACATAAAGGCTCTAATGGGCAGGGGCTTGGGGCATAGGGATGAGTAGACCCAGATCTTGACCCAAAGGAGCGCATGATTGGATGGACTGGAAGCCTGAAGCTGTGGTAGAGAGCCTCAGCCTGAGTGTCCCCCTCCAACCTCCCCATCAGCTGTTTAAGATCAGCTTGCACTCTCCACCCCACTTCTCTTCCTACCCAGTCTCTCCCACAAGGGCTACCAGACTGGAGATCTGGGCACCACAGCTGCTGTCTCTGAGTACACAGTGCCAGCTCAACATCTGACATGCATTTGGGGCCCAACTGGTGAACAAAACTAAACTAAAAGCTTATGTCAAATTATAGAATATTTAGAAAAAGTATATGAAAGATATAGTTCTTTCAACTGTCAACTTCTGTTAAGAGGAGAAAAGTAAAGCTTCATTCCTAAGGACAAACAATTATCGAGGGGTACAACTACAATTTCTTTGAACCTGCTTCTTTGTACCTACATGAAAAACAAAAGATAAACAAAAAATATGCTTAATAGGAACTCTACCAACAGAAAATATGGGAGGAAGAAGTCAAATTACTCAATTTTCCTATTTGTTAGTAATTTTACTTGCATGTGTGTGACAGATTTGTTGAAGGAAGAATGGCTAAAATTAGTTTCCTCTCTGCAGGTATCATATTACCTTTGCCCCCATCATCACTGATAAGCATTCACCGAGGGTGGAGGAAAACAGGTTTCCACCCTGGTTTCCAGGGAAAAAAAATCAATCATAGATGAAAAACTCATTAAAACAAATTAATTCAGGTTACTTAACCCAAGAAATCTGCACGCTTCCTGTTTTTTCAACGTGAGGAAAGACCCTGGGGATTAACTGAGCCAAAGGATATGAGCTAGTTAAGCACCCACCATACGCCACACATTGTATTTAGCACATTTAACTCATTTAAATGTCACAAGACAGATCTCAAAGGAATGTCCACCACTAAAAACTGAGGCTCAGCTGGGTTAATGTCATGCTGAAGGTCAGAGATAGAAAGCCCACTTTCCACCAAACTAGACTGTCCATGGCAGAGGCAGACCTTGTTTTCCTCATTTCATACTGGACCATCTCACTCATTTGGCTCTGCCTAATTATAATGTTCATTTCTGTGGCTTCGAGTAATAATACAGTTGTTTGAGCAACTGAATCCAAAAGCACACCCTTAATCAGCACTTCCACCTTTGGTGGAAACAGTAATAAAGCTCTCAAAAGCTTTTCAACAAACACTATCACACATGTCTGTATTGTTTCCTGCCTTATGAATGGATACTGTGGTTACCAAGACTGCATTGCATTATGAAATAGGAACTACCTGAATCCTCTAATTCTCATGGACTTTAATAAAGTCCATGTGGGCACCTCAATTAGTGCTTATTGTATATGAGAAGACATGAGAAAAAGGAGAAAAAAGTGAATCAGGCTGGTGTCAGGCAAAAATTGAACCAACAATACCAGGCATGAGTGAGGGTTACATGTGTCACTTCAAGGCAGTGACAAATAGGTGAAGTCTAATGTCTCTCCCCTTTGAACTGAAAGTCTCCCAGAAATAGAGAGAGAGAAAGAGAGAGAGAGAAGATGGATATTATATTTGGTATGGATTAACTGATCCTATTTTATGTTCAGACACAGAAATGGTCAAGGGCTCTTCTGAATCAGAGATAGCATTTTTTGGTACCAATCATGAAGTTCTCTGTATACAAGCACTTCCCAGATTCCTGATCCCCAGTCCTGGTTGATACTCACTTCTTTTTTTCTATCCCAAGATCACTTGATTGACAGAATCAAAGGATAACAGACCAGAATCTCAGGCTTCACCTCCTCAAATCCTCTCCCTCACTGACCACATCTAATGAATAACTTAGTTCTGTACTGGAGTCTACTTTGGCGGTATCTCAAGCATTTAGCTCGTTTTCTTCTTGGTTACTGCCATGACCACGGTGGTTCAGGCCATCATTACCATTATCTGAATGGTTATAATGTCTTTAAGTGGTTACTTTGTTCCAAATGACCCCCCTTCAACCCAGCATCCATATGCAGCCAGAGTGATTGCAAAAATGCTCAGGACTCATTCCTCTATGTAAAACCCTCCAGCAGCTTCCTTTGCCCTAGAATAAATAATGAATAGCCAACAATTCCTGAGTACATAATCTGTGCATATCTTATCTGAATCTTTGCAGCAATCCTATGAGGGAAGTACTACCTTCATTATCATTAATTACTGTGGCTAAATTACTTAAATACGGTGGCTAAATTACTTAACTGAGATCCCACAGATAGAAACTGGCAGAACCACGACTCAAACCTTTGTTTCTGTGACCCCATTGTGCATACTTTAGCCACCTTGCTAGCCTCCCTACCTCTTGGCTCCATATGCTTCAGCTCCTTTGAACCACTTGCAGGTCCTAGAACTTGACATGATGTTTCATGCCTCTGGTTCAGTTGTTGTTGGTTGCTTGTTTTTGCACATGAATCTCTCTCCCATTATACTTTCTTCTTTTGTCTACCTGGTGTAACTTCTCATCTTTCAAGATTCAACTCAAGCATTACCTCCTCCGAGAACCTTTCCCTGACCCTTCCTCTTTTGGTAGAATTGACCACTCCCTTCCCTTATACATCAACATACCCTGATTATGCTTTCATTGTAATGAACACAATACTACCTGCACATGGATGAGCATGACTCCCTCTCTTAGACTTCTATGAACTCCTTAAATGTTGGGACTCTGTCCTAGTAATCAATTTTAATTATAGTATCTAGCACAGTTCTGGGCACATAAAAGGTTTACTGTAAACACTGTTGAATGAATAAAAATATTTGTTTGAATGTTAAATATGTTGCTTGGTTACAGCACCCCAGGAATTACCTTGTGAGATTTATATTTACAGCATCAGTGCAATTGGTGATTTTTTTTCTTTACTGAAGAGCTGTATGTGAATCTTTGAAAAGGATCATGAAGCTTTAGAATAATTGAAAAATTCTGGTATCCTCCCAATTAGAGCAGTGGCTAGGGATGGAGGGAAGATATTTCAGTCCACCTGCCACACCTATTTTCACCTGTTAAAAAATCTATTTAGTGATAACATTGAACAGTCAGTGTATAAACCATATTTGGTATCAGGGTTATATATATTTACCTTATTAATGGGAATACGGATGATTCACAATTGAACTGCAATACATACATTTTGTTGTACACAGTATAATAAACGGATAAGAATAATGTTAATCGAAACATTTAATTATAAAGCAAGAATACAGCAATGATAAACCATGACCAACTGAAGACAATGCAACTGATACTCTGATACTGTGATAAAGAAGCATTCTTTCCCAAAGTGCCAAAAATGCCAAGTTGGCATATGTGCTCATGTAGTACAGCAAATGTCACATGGCAGTCAGTCTTCTTAATGACTAGCAGCCAAACACTATTCTTAATGGATACATCCTGGTCCTATGTCAACAACAAATATATCCTCAATCTTCCTCTCCATCTTTGAATCTTGGCTCAAGGGAGATCTCCTTGAGAAAGCCTTCCCTGGTCTCACAGTTCAGTTTGTATAAACCCTCAAAGAACTTTGTTTCTTTCCTTTAGACAGTTTATCTTAGTCTGTAATAACATATAGTCAATATTTATTTTTCTAACAGCTGCCACCTCAAAGCATCTGTAAGCTCCAGGAGAGCAGGGACCTCACCTGGTTTTATATACCTTTTAGTTCCCAGTGACTGGTACATAGCCAGGCACTCTATAAACATTTTGAATGATGAATGATGAACAATTTTGTTTACTTCTTACTCATTGCCCTGTTACCTTAAGAATTATATGCGACTCCTCACCAGTCTCAAACTTGTAGTCAACTTCTTCCTCTTCATTATACACCTACCCTATCACAAGGATCAGTCATTATTTTCTCATCCTCTCCTCCCCACTCTCTCCCACCAAAAAGTCTTAGAAGCGGCAGCTTCTAATCAGCCTGAACTTTCTGACATGGTTGGGATCCAGTTCAAGGTTATGCAATATGAAAAGATAATCAAAATAAAGGAAAAATGTGGAGACTGGAGTACCTATTAGGTGATTTTAAACAATGGACACAGCTCCTAAAGAACCCGCTAATTCAGTAAAAAAATTTTTTAATTAATTTAGTTTCAACCACTCTGTTTTATCATAGAGACAAAAACTGGTTGATTTGCTGATTGTTTTCACTTACTATGTTTTGGCCTAACATAGAAGTCTTGAAACAGAGCTGACTGTACTGATTGTTGGCAGGAAGTAACCCGCATGTGTGGTCTCTTAGCAAATTATATGGAGACTGTTCCTAAATGACAGGGCTCTGTGCTTGAGGAGTCTTCTGTACTCAAGGGTCTTGGCCTGCTTCTTCCTTCCTATTTCCCCTCCAACTTCCCCTACATCTTCCCCTCCCACCTTGTCCACCACAAAGCTTTGTCCCTCAGCCCCTTCATGGAACACCTCCCAGGCAGGTATAAAGCACCCGGTGTCCCAGGTTCCTACAGAGAAAAAAATCCTAGGCATGTCAGTTAGGGGATCCTGGAATGGAGACGGGAAAAGCAACAGCAAGGTGTGACTGATGAAGTTCTGTTTTAAGGAATAGGAACTACTGTGGTGTTAAGTTCTGGAAATCCAGAGCATTTCAGAAAACAGCCTGCATTATTTCCTCTCAATAACAGACTACCTAAACTGCACTTGGAAGATCCAGTTTAAGGGGAAAGATAGGTGTGTTTAGAACTTGTCATGGACTGTTCCCCAATGTGCCTTTTCTTCAGATCTCTGGGATAGTTGAAGCAAGTAAATGAAATGTCTTCTCGTTAGTGGGCTCCCTACCCTGAGGAACACCTTGTGAAAAACATTTGAGGACAAGATAGGCGTTGCGAGAAGGAACACTGGAGATTAAAGGATGTGGGCAGTGGTGGTGACATCATTTTCTGGATAAAGAATCAAAAGACGGCGACAGAACATGTAGAGTGTGAAAGGCTATGAGTATAGAAAGGAGATAGCAATAGACACATGCTAGTGCAGGCAGTGCCTCTAGAAGATAAATGTTTGTATTATTTGACTTAAAAAATAAATATATGCATGTTATCTATTGAAAGCTATAATGTTAAAATAATGATAAGACTCCATCAGTCTGGTATGCTTTTTCTTCCCAGGAAATACATACGGAGGCTGGTGATCAGGCCCCGGGAACTGACAGTCTAATTTGATGCCACTGAAGCAAAGTCCCCAAGGAATTCTGGCGGCTTGGACCAGGAATTCTGCAGGGGCACTAACGGCCCCTGGGGCCAGAGCTGACGCTGTGGCCCTCCCCTCCATATTCATACACTCTGTGAAGCTACCTGTCCCCTTGTTAACACATGGAAAGCGAGTCCTTTCTGACTACATCACAGGCAGAAGCAAGGCTGAGGCACAAGAAACTACCGACAGCAGGCGTTTTGGTGTGCACTCCCGTTCATTGGCGTAGGTGACCCGCTGCCCCTTCTAGGGGACACCGAACAGTCCAGTTCTGAGCCGGGGAAAGCCTTGATCCTATAATGTGGTCCCTACTTTCCCCCACGTTCACGCCCAATGTTCCCAGGCTGGAGCTGCTCCGGCGTGTGCCCCTCGTTCGGCCCCGAGCCCTTGGCCCCCAGACCCCGCCACGGCCCCTCCCCCACTGGGGGCGCTTTCCGCCCGCCCTCCTCAGGTTCCCTGGTCCTACCAGCGCCTTGGCCAGGGCTCCCTCGCACAGAGGCAGCTCCAGCCCCTCGGCCGTGGGTCTTCACGAGGCTGGGCTTGTGTCTGATCTCAGGACGGCGCGCGGACCCTGCTGCCTATGCCAAGGTCACGGTCTCGGAGAGGCGCGCATGGCTCACTGCACTCCCTGCGCCCGCCTTCGGGACCGGCCGCAGCAGCCCCCGCAGACCCTCTGGGCAGCCGCGGCGGCCCCGGCCCCGGAGCTCCGCCCCTCTCGTGCTCCCCGCCCGCTTGCCCCCTCGGGGTCCCGGACTGCTGAGCCTAGCTCCCCTTGGAGCCCACTCGCGAGCTGCCCTCTAACCCCCACCCCAGTTAGTCCCCGTTCCCTCACCGTCTCCTTAGCCCGCAGATAGCTTAGCTGACTCTTCAGGGTCGCTGAGGGCGCGTCTTCCGTTCCCCGAGGGCCACACGCCGGCTCGGGTGAGCCCCGCGCTCAGGTCCTCTCCTGCCCTCTTCCGTGCCGAGCCAGGGGTTCCCGGCTCCCAAATCCTGTTCCTGCTGCCTGCTGTCGGGGAGGTCCTCTTCCCGGACCCCTACTCCTTGGCGATGGAAAGAGACTTAGAGGGCTTACGACGCCACCAACGTTCTCTGTGCCGAGGGTGGCACAATTTTTTTTTTTTCTGATATAAGGCCAGAGATTCACAATAAAATAAATACAAATCGCGTGCCCTAACTCTTACTTATTGTGCAAGACTCAGGTCAAGCGTTACCTCGGTGCTGACAAACAGCTCCCTGCTTCCACTCTCCTGCGCGAAAGGGCGCGCGATCCTCCCTGGCTGCAGCCAGGCGCCTGTTGCTCTTGGTCTACTCTACCCGACTCCACAGCTCGCTGCTTGGAGGCCCCGACCTGGCCTTGCTTATCCTTGTCCCTAGCCCCTGGCAAGGTGCCTGCCACCCATCACAGCACTAGAATATTTTATGAATAAGTGGAAAATTAATTTCTTTTGTAGAAAACCATTTGCGTGTGTGTGTGTGTGTGTTTGGCTTTTTACCCTCAAATAAAGCATACTCCTTTGGGTGGGCAATTTGCTAGTCTCTATAAAGAAACACCAAAAATATCCCTTTTAATGTAGTATTCCATGCTTGGGGAAATTTCCAGAACAAAATAACATTCATGCGGAGATGTTTTTTAGCAGGATCATTTACTACAGAAAAAAAATTAAAAACCACAAAAAGTAAACAGAGCCAAACTGTCAACAGTAGGAAACTGGTTGAGTAAATTAGGGTGACTTAATGGGATATTATACAACCGTTAAAATGATAAACATCAAGACAGAAGTGCTTCAAATTCTTTTTAGAATAAGGAGGGAGTATGTATTTATTTATAAAGAAAAAAAGGGAAACATGAAGTAACATGATAAAATGTTTGCAAATTATTGTTAAGCAAAAAGCAGAAAATTGGGTCATTTACCCATGTTTAATAACTTCAAATAAAAATGCAGATTTCTTCTCTGCAAAACGGCCATAACATCTACCTCAAGGGGTCCTTGGAGTGTTCAATGAAATAGTCAAGGAAAGTGCCTAGTACAGAATGGATACTCAACAAAGTTTCCATTTCTTTTCTTCAATGGAACACAGACTCAAATCCAGCATGTCAAACACATCCTCATTATGGCCCAATTCTACCCATTTGGCTTCCTTTCCCTCAAATACAGCGTAGGAGAAGGAGCTGAGCAAATGCCAAAGAACCAGGGAAGGAGGAAAATCTAGTTAATAGGAATAAACGTGAAGTCCTCCCTCAGGCCGAAACACCTAGCAATACAAGTTGGTAATGGGGGATGTGGCTCAGTAGTGCTGTACATCGAAATACCTTAGATTTTATTTTAGTTGGCTACAAGCACAATCTTGTGAACACCCAAAGGCTGAATGAGTTCAGTTCAAAACCTGAATGAGGCTGCAATCTTAGGCTGAACTCATCCTCTTCAATGGTCAGGTTACACCTGGGCATAATGTCCAAATCTGCGCACTATCTTTAAGAAAGCATTACTCTGAAGATCTATTATTGCTTCCATTGTAAAGATGAAGAAACTATGCATACAGTTTCCAGTATTTAGGGTTGGGCTGCTAGGAGTTGGCAGAGCCAAGAGCTGAACCAAATCAGCTTGACTTACAGTCCTGGTGCTTGATCACTTTACCAGTGTGTCCCAGTGTGTACATCTTCCAGTAGAGATTGGAAGCATGGTATTGGGTGATACACAGACAATAAAATTAGATAACAGTGGATCACAAGGTGAAAAAAGATATGCCCTTCTCACTTCTTTTGTTCCTATGGATTACGTCAAGGAAGGAGTATCATTTTTGTGGTATTTGTCTTTGCACCCCTGTATAATACTTGGCAATCTCCTGTTTTAACAAAGAGAGAGCTTGCCTCTCGCTCAGAACCTTTGCTAGGCAACAACTCCTAAGTAGAATTTAATATCATCACTTTCTCTTCCATCGCCTTATGCAGTTAGGTTCCAATTGACATAGTTTTCCACTTACAAAGTGATGTGGTTTCCATTTAAGGTAAATTTTCTTATGTGAGAAAAATGAGCAACTTGAATGAAAGATATAAAAGAACTAATAGGACCAGTGATATTTAAATTTCATACTCTATTATGACCAGTGGATAGAAGGAATGACAGGCAGGTTTCTGTCCACAGTGAATTAGGGCTGCCTGGGAAGATGCTGAAGGACTGCCTTGGGAGCTCAAACACTATGGCTAGAAGCTTTAAAGTTCCTGCCAACCAGGAGAATCTGGGATTCTTGACAGCAGGGCTTCCCAGGAATCTGACCTCTAGAAACACAGATTTTAGTGTAAGTTACATTCACTGCTTTTGGACAGCTCCCAAAGAAGAGTTCCAAGTAAGCTGAGAACAATAGCAGCACCTCTGTGACCATGTATAATTAACAGAGCACTAGTGAGAGGTGACAACGTGCTAGCAGCCCTCACTCTTAGCGCCTCCTCGGCTTCCGCGTCCACTCTGGCGGCGCTTGAGGAGCCCTTCAGCCCGCCACCGCACCATGGGAGCCCCTCTCTGGGTTGCCTGAGGCCAGAGCCGCCTCCCTCTGCTTGAGGGGAGGTGTGGAGGAAAAGGCGCAGGCAGGCGGGAACCCGGGCTGCGCGCTGCGCTTGAGGCCCAGTGCGAGTTCCGGCGGGCGCGGGCTCGGCGGGACCCGCACACAGAGCTGCCGGCCGGCCCGGCCGGCCCAGGGCAGTAAAGGGCTTAGCACCCGGACCAGCAGCTGCGGAGGTTGCGCCGGGTCCCCCAGCAGTGCCGGCCCGCCGGCGTTGCACTCAAATTCTCGCCCGGCCTCGCGAGGCAGGGCTCGAGACCTGCAGCCCACCATGTCTGAGCTCCCCCACCTGCGGTAGGCTCCCGCCGAGCCTCCCCGACGGGCGTTGCCCCCTGCTCCGTGGCGCTCGGTCCCATCGACAGCCCAAGGGCTGAGGAGTGCAGGCGTGGCTCGGGACTGGCGGGCAGCTCTGCCTGTAGCCCCAGTGCAGGATCCACTAGGTGAAGCCCGCTGAGGTCCTGAGCCGGATGGAGACTTGGAGAACTATTATGTCTAGCTCAGGGTTTGTAAATACACCAATCAGCACTCTGTGTCTAGCTCAAGGTTTGTAAATATACCAATTGGTACTCTGTATCTAGCTAACTCTGTGTCTAGCTAACCTAGTGGGGACTTGGAGAACTTTTCTGTCTAGCACTCTGTGTCTAGCTCAAGGATTGTAAACGCACCAATCAACACTCTGTGTCTAGCTCAGGGTTTGTAAATATACCAATTGGTACTCTGTATCTAGCTAACTTAGTGGGGACTTGGAGAACTTTTATGTCTAGCTAGAGGATTGTAAATACACCAATCAGCACCCTGTCAAAACGGTCCAGTCAGCTCTCTGTAAAGTGGACCAATCAGCTTTCAGTAAAATGGACCAATCGGCAGGATGCGGGTGGGGCCAAATAAGGCAATAAAAGCAGGCTACCTAAGCCAGCCAGCTGCAAGCTGGTCGGGAGTTCTTCCGCAGCGTGGAAGGTTTGTTTTTTCGCTGTTTGCAATAACTTGCTGCTGCTGGCTCTTTGGGTTCGCGTTGCCTGTATGAGCTGTAACAGTCACCACGCAAAGGTCTGCAGCTTCATTCTTGAAGCCAATGAGACCACAAACCCACCGGGAAAAACGAATAACTCCAGATGCGCTGCCTTTAACAGCTGTAACACTTACCACGAAGGTCTGCAGCTTCACTCCTGACAGAGAGACCACGAACCCAACCAGAAGGAAGAAGCCCCAAACACATATGAAAGTCTGAAGGAAAAAATTCCGTACGCACCATCTTTAAGAACTGTAACACTCACCGCGAGGGACTGCGGCTTCATTCTTGAAGTAAGTGAGATCAAGAACCCACCAATTTCAGACACACTAGTAGATTCTCTCTAAAGTAACTTTTGCAAGAGACAACATTTGGGATGTTTGTTTACACGTCAATCATTTACTCCCTTACACCTTATTCTGGTGTTCCCTCTATTCGTAACATCCCGAGGGCCAAGATGATGGGGCTGTTCTTCCTTCCTTTCGTGTTCCGGCATTTCTCATTCCCAAATTCAATATCTTGTGGCCTCTGTTTCCGCTAAGGCAGCTCCCCTTGCTATTTATTTTTAATCCTTTGGACCAGTACTAAAATGGATGTGCGGGGAAAAATGGGTACATAGGGTCACCAGCAGTTAAAAAGTATTTTTGGTATAGGAAATTTATTTTGAAACCATGAAGTCTGAAAATTCATAATGTACAAAACCGTAATCTGATTGCCTTATGGTTCAAGAATATTTGGTGTGTAGACATCACCTGGGCCCATGATTGCTAAGAACAGAAAGCCACTTGGGAACCTATT